GAGATCATATTTTGAGCTCAGGAACAGTGATTCGTGCCCGTGAACAGTAACCAGTTTTGGTAGAAAAATGCAGGTTTTTCTATTCTGCCCAGATTTCATCAAACGTCTGAACCCGCTTCGTCCATGGTCTCATCAAGCTAAAATTTGGAGGAGAGATTCAAGACTCAGTGATGCACAATCTGAATGGTGGAGATCAGATTTTGAGCTTGGGAACAGTGATTCGTGCCTATGAACAGTAACCGGGTTTTGGTAAAAAAACGCAGGTTTTTCTATTTTGCCTAGATTTCATCAAACGTCCGATCCTGCTTTGTCCGTGGTCCGATGGAGCTGAAATTTGGAGGAGACGTTCAAGACTCAGTGGCGCACAATCTGAACGGTGGAGATCATATTTTACACTTGGGAACAGTGATTCGTGCCCGTGAACAGTAACCGAGTTTTTGTATTTTTCTCTCCAATTCTCTTTGTTTTTTGCCAAGATTGTTGCTATCTTGATGAGATGTTTTGTAGCCTCTAATTGCGATTAGAGAAGACTTTGTGTACCCATTATTTGGTTGATAGTGGAGATTTTAACTGAACTATGTCCTGTGGTTTTTCTTCCTCACACTGGGGAAGTTTTCCACGTAAAAAATTGCTTGTGTTCTTGTGGCTTAGTGTGATTGATTTGTTCTCTATTATTTTCAGCACATATAAAAGTAGAAATATACTATATTTGCTTGCATATAGGAAGAAGAATTATTCCGCTGTGTTTGTTTATTGTCATCTCTCCCAACAGTTGTGGGGCTGGTTGCACCACTCTCGGTTTGTAACTTGGGATGGGTCCAAAAAAAAAAGAAAAAGTAAAAAAAGAAGAAAGTGATGTGCCAATAAAGGGGCATTTTGACTTGGCATATATACAATTTATGTAGATAAAAGAATACTACAAACCTAGATATTTGTTTGGTTGCCTAGACAATCTTCCAACAACTCACCTTTTTTATTTCTTTGATTTTGTAATTTTTTTAATCCCCAACTGCTCTAATGAAGTAAAAATGGCACTCTCTCTTTGTAAATATAACTGACATGCTCAAAATATTTGGCTCAAAAATAAAAAAAATTTATGAATGCTTATATTTTTGATCGGTATAAAATTATGATGGATGCTAAAAAGAACACAAATTAACCTTTAATGGAAGCCAGTAATGAATTTCCATGTATCTGTGGAAGCTAGCTATGGTGCTCAACACTGTAAGCTTGCCAACAATGACAGGCTTTCCATCCTTACCAATCCATGGATTCTTGGTGAAGTAATGAAAAGCTTAATCTCGAAGGCAAGTCAATTTCACAGGATTTGCTACTGCAAACCCACTTGGTGTATGATCTCAACAGGTTTATTTACATAAATCGCCATGGCAACGATCATAGAATTAACCACCATTGTCAGCTGGAATCTGCATACATTATATATTCTCTAAAATGTATATATATATAGCATGATTGTTTAAGACGAATAAAAATGGATGCACACACAGATGCAAGACGAGCATAGATAATACATATGCACACTAGAAATAACAACGTCAAAAAACAAACAAAAAAAAAGAAGTAAAAGAAAAAAGGGTGTCTGTGTTTGCTTTATCATTCAATAATAAAAAATAAAAATAAAAAGTCGTCAAGATTGCATTTCTAAGGTTACAAACGCATGTTAAAATTAAACTAATGCCATGTGCATTATGTCTTTTGGGTTTATACATGTATCAAGTGAGTACATGTATCAAGTGTGTGGTTGAGAATTGTTTTGAAAATATCTTTGTATTGCTAGGAAGTATAACGGTATTGAGAGGACACTATATATTGTCTAATTGGTTTGTAATACAAAAATTAATTTCATACAACAAGAAAAATATTTGTTACTTAATTCATTCCTTATTCTTCTCGATCTCGTTAATAAAATTATATAGTTGGTTGAAACTACAACCAAAATAAGTGGTATCAGAGCTTTATTTCGATCAAGAGAAACTGGGTGTGAAATTATTTACGGGAAAACAAACCCCGAGGAAGATTGACGGCAATGGCGAATACAAACAATCAAAATTAAGGAGCCCAACAATCTGCACTTTCCATTTCTTATGGGGAAAATTATGATTTTTGGTATGTAAATATGAAAACCAAATTTTCTCTCATATGATTTAGAGACTATGTTGAAGATGAGTATGATGAACCGGAGGATATGAAAACTTTGACAAATGCCCAAAAACAACAATTGAAGGATCAGAAGAAGAAAGATGCTAATGATTTAGCCTTGATTCAACAAGGAGTTGCTGATACAATTTTTTCCAGAATTATCAATGCTTATAAAGCAAATGAGGCATGGGAAATCTTTGAGAAGGAGTATAGAGGCAGCACGACGGTAAGAACTGTAAAACTCCAATATTTGAGAAGAGATTTTGAGATTATGAAGATAAAAGAAATGGAGTTACTGAAAGATTTTTTTTTTTTAGATTTATGGAAGTTGTGAATCACATGAAAAGAGACGGGGAAAATATTTCTGATCAAAGAATTGTCGAAAAAATTCTAATTAGCTTGCGAGAAAATATGACTTGATTGTTATTGTTATTGAAGAAACTAAAGTGCTAGCAAATTTAAGTGTTGAAAAATAAATGGGTTCTATTAAAACATTTGAGCAAAAGTTGAGTAGGAGCTTCGAAAAAACAATTGAAAGTGCCTTTCAATCCAAACTCAGTGTTAGTTCCAAAAATAAAGAAAAAGACCCATTAAGTTTTGATCGATCCAAAGGTGAGTCTTCTAGAGGTGGAAGACATGGAAAAGGAAGAGGAAGAGGAAGAAATAATTTTGAGAGAGGTGGAAATATGGAGTCCACTCAACAAAAATGTGGAATTTGTAAAAGAAGTAGCCATATTGACAGAGATTGTTGGTTTCGGGGAAAACCTTAATGTTACAATTACAAGAAATTTGGGCATGTTAAAACAGATTGCCGGTTGAAAACAAATCAGCACTCTAATTTTTCCAAAGAGCAAGAAGGTGAAGCAATCATGTTATATGCGTGTCACACGCCATCCGAACAAAATGATGATGTATGGTTCCTTGATAGTGGGTGTAGCAACCACATGACCAGAGATAAAAGCATATTTTTGGAGATTGATTCTTCATCAAATTCTCAAGTGAGAATGGAAAACGGTGTCTTAGTCCAAGCAAAGGGAAATTGTACTATTGCAACAGACAAAGAAAGGAAGAAAGCATATTCATGATGTGCTACTTGATCCAGATTTGGAGCAAAATTTATTGCGTGTTGGGCAGCTTGTAGAGCATGGGTACTCCATTTATTTTGATGAGGACTCTTTCAAAATTTTTGACAACGGATGACAAAATCAGATTGTGGCAAAAATAAAGATAGGAAAAAATAGAATTTTTCCTCTCACTTTTTCATGTTAAAAAATTATGGCCTTAAAGATAGATGTTGTTGATGAGTCATGGCTTTGGCATAGAAGACTTGGGCACTTGAATTTCCAACGCTTAAAGAATTTACAACAAAAGAGCATGGTGTATGTGCTGCCAACAATACAAGAAATGAAAGAAGTTTGTGAATATTGTTGTGCTCTTGGCAAGCATCACCAAGAGTCATTTCTAAAATAGAAGGCATGGAGGGCTAAAGCACTATTGGAGTTTATTCATACCGATGTGTGTGGGCCGATGACAACACCAGCTCATACGAGTAATAATTATTTTATTATTTTTGTTGATGATTTTTTAAGAATGACATCGATTTATTTCATGAGACAAAAATCAGATGTGTTTTCCATTTTTTAAAAATTTCAAAAGCTTATTGAAAGACAAAATGAACACCTTATCAAAGTGTTGAGAAGTGATACAGGTGGAGAGTATAACTTTAATCAATTTGACAAATTTTGTGAAGATATTGAATTGGAGAGGCAATTAACAGTTGGGCACACTCCACAACAAAGCTGAGTGGCAGAATAAAAAAATAGAACAATTGTTGAGATGAGAAAATCAATTTCATGAGAAGGGGCTGCCTAAATATTTTTGGGTTGAGGCCGTGAATATGGCTGTTTATTTGATGGAGTGGAAGGAAGCCATCCTTGAATCACTTAACGGTATTTAGGTGCATTTGTTTTGCTCATGTACCAAGAGAAGTAGGACATAAGCTTGATAAAGCTAGTGAAAAATACATCTTTGTGGGTTATAGCTCAAAATCAAATTGGCTATAAACTCTTTAATTTGGAGAAGAATAAATTAATATTTGTAGACATATTCTCTTTAATGAGAAGGCTTTTTGGGATTGGAAAGAGAAGAAAGTTCACGATCAAATCATCAATTTCAATGAATAATCAGAAAATCCACGAAAATGAAGATGAAGATGTTCTTGAAGATCCACAAGAAATGTCTCTAATAGCTAGGTCACAATTAGCCCCAACTTCACCATCAAGTTCAAATTCATCATTTCCAAGTTCAACTCCAAGAAGAATGAAAAGTCTTCGTGATGTGTATGTAAGTTGAAATTTTTCTGTTGTTGAGCCGAAGAGGTTTGAAAACGCAATTAAAGAAGTGGCAAGGAAGAAATTCAAGAAGAAGAGGAAGATGATGAGATTCAATTCAAGTATTGCAAGACCAAAGACTAAGTTGCGGACATCTTCGCCAAAGCACTTTCAAGAGATAAGCTTGAATACTTTAAATAATTGTTGGGTGTCACAATATGGCATTAAGGGGGAATGTTAAAATTAAATTAATGCCATATTCATTATGTCTTTTGGGTTTATTCACGTATCAAGTGTGTACATTTATCAAGTGAGTGCATGTATAGTGTGTGGTTGAGAATTGTCTTGAAAATATCTTTGTATTGTTGGGAAGTATAATGGTCTTTGAGAGGACACTGTATGTTGTCTAAGGATTTTGTAATACAACAATCAATTTAAAACAAGAAGAAAAATATTTGTTACTTCATTCTTTACTCTTCTCTCATCAATAAAATTATATAGTTGATTGAAACTACAGCAAACAACAAAGCAATAGCTAGTTTGTAATTTTATTTTATTTTATTTTATTTTTCCGGTAAGTAAAGGGGAGAAAGGTTAAGTGTTTCAGCTCTCTTAGGGGTGATATTATTGGGTATGTGTTTGCTTGACTGGCCGGGGAGGGGGAAAATATTTTCATTTTCCAAGTTAATCCTATCCATTCGTTTTCATATATGTTTACTTGATTAAAAAGAAAATGAATGAACTCACCACATCAATTACTGATTCGGGATCACCAATCATGCATGTAAATCTTCCTTTACAGTAACCAATGATGAAGCTATCAACCGTTCTATAACAACAGACAAATTAGACATAAAATAATATAAAATCATGAAAATGATTTAATTAGTTACTTAACGTATCTTATAATTTTCTATCATTGTTATTGTCTAGACAAACTGAAAAATTATATAACAAAAGAAATTATATTGATAAAATATTTTATTAAATTACTTGAAACCTTCAACCCAACCAAGGAATGGTTCTTTGTATGTACTGGTTATGATGGTAGGACGAATAATAACAAGTGGTAAATTTTCTCTCCAGTGCCCTAGCAACATCTCTGCCATTGCCTTTGTAAATACAAAGGTGTTTGGCCATCCATACAACCTCGACCTGTAAGACAATCAGATCAATGAAAGACACTGAATTTAGAAATGATCTTTGCATCCAAGAAACTTGTGATTTAAGTGTACTCGATTTATTTTTTTCTTTTTAAAGAAGTGGGTCACATCAGAAGTACTAATAAATTGAGTTGAGTTCGAATATTGTTATATCAAGGAAAGGAAAACGATTTTGAAATCAATTTTCTGGACTGATGTGCAGTTGAAGATAGGGGCGGAGTCAGAAATTTAGTTTGGGCATATTAAGCATGACCAAATGAAAAATAAAAAATCAACTAACAGTTTAAGACAAACAAGCCAAAATATAATAGTGTAGTGACAAGGTTGTTTGTATGCAAATGGTTCTTAATTGATTAGATGGTATTAGCTGATATATGATTGTTGAGAATAGGAGATATTGAAAGCAGATTTGAAATTGCTAGGTGGATCAATTTACACTCTTGAAAGCAGTTGTGGTGTATTAGAAAATGCATAGGTGCTGTATCCTGTTTTGCTATCTCCTTTGGTGATCCTGTGGCAACACTTGTTGTCATAGCCCTTGGCTTGTAATGTCCTTAATGGACCTACCGTACATTCTTCTTTTATTTATCAAAGCTTACCATTTTACCTAAAAAAAAATAATAATAAAGAAAACCAATTGTCAAACATAACGTAAGTATATAAAATTTTAGTAATAAATTGAAAGAATAAGTGTAAAATAAATGAATAAGAAGAGAGAAAAAGAAGCTTATTACACATAAATCATCAAGAAAGAGAAAACTTTTAAGAATAAAAAAAAAAATAAACAATTATTATTTTTAGGTTGTCCTAAAATACTTGTCCACTTTAAAAGGTCAAAACAAGATAAAATTAATTTTTTCAAAATTACCCTTTAAAATTATAAAAATCTTCCAATTTGATAAGATATCTATTTAAACTTGAAAGGAGAATTTAGTAAATTTTATAAAGGAACAATACATTAATTGCACATTCGTTTAAAAAGTTCTAAAACTAAAAATGGATAACTATTACAAGGGGAGATTTGTCCCAAAAGTGGATAACTGTTACAAGGGGAGATTTGTCCTGCATCGGATCCGTGGGGGAGTGATTAGGTATAAATGGATTAGTATGCAGCACTACCTAATAACTTAAATTTTTTAAATAAATAGATAAGCGTTCACCGATTACAATAACTATATATTATGCGACAGAGAGAGCAAAAACTAATCGCCAGAATAAGCCCATGACCCGGGAGGGCGGTCCGCTGGCTCTGCCCCTTATTTGAAGGCTTGATGCAAATCATGCAATAATGTATGGGACTCACTCAAAGGAATAAAAACCATTTCCACTACACACGTCTCGAAAAATAAGTCCCAATAACATAATTTGTCAAGAAAAACATCTTTTAAGCCAATTTCAAACCTTTGAATGCCCAAATCCTTCATTGCCCTTGCAATAGTTTTTTCTGAAGCTGCTTCTTCTCGAAGTTCATTCAATCTCTCCTCAACCACATTTTTCTCTATGTCAATGTCTAATCCAGATGCTCCATTTAGTGTCTCACTCATGCAGTATGAATTCTCTAGTATCAGTCCCTCCCTTTCACCAGAAACAAAAGCTACACGCGCGCGCACACATACACATATATTTTCTGTAAGTAATATATATATATTCCGTGCATGTAGGCAATGAATAAATACGGACTATATTGTAAGTATTGCAAAGTCCATAACATGCTTAAATGAACTAATATATAGTTTGGTGAAAATAGATACTAATCAGTAGAAACATGCATAAGTAGCTTTATTTTGACGCATTTCTTTGCAAAGTCCATAACATGCTTAGCTCCCATTGTATTAATACCCAGTGCGACATCATATCTACATAAATAAATGCATAAGTAGCTTTATTTTGACGCATTTCTTTGCAAAGTCCATAACATGCTTAGCTCCCATTGTATTAATACCCAGTGCGACATCATATCTACATAAATAAAAAGAAACATTAATTTACTTTTAAAATACTAGAGGAATTGAAATTTGTTAATTAATTAGTACATACCTTTCATCAAAGTTGGTTGTGGCAGCTAAATTAACAACAACATCTACCTCTCTCCACATCTCTTCCACCAAATTAGTGTCATCAACTCCTAAGTTCTCACAGGTAATGTCACCCGGGACCGGAATGATTTTTTCGGAAATAAAAGAACTTAAGTTAGCTCCCCACTTCTCCTTTATAACCCTAAACAAGTCCTTTGCAATGACCTATACATGTTAATATAATTAGTCACAATTAAAATGATGCTCCATTAATACATTAATATAAAATGCCATAGAAATCAAAATTGCATCTTGCATTAGTTTAATTTCCATGACTAAATTGTATATAGTCTACAATATTTCAGGAGTTGATAGAAGCATTATTAATTAATTTAATAGTGTACCTCATCATGCAAGCGCTGCAAGGCTGCCTTGGCATCTGCTGCTCTTAGAAGAAGATAGAGCTTCTTTACATTTGGTTGAACTCTGAGTATCTTCTCCACCAAGACTACATCCAAATTAACAAGTAAAGTTGTCATTAAATCATCAATATATATATATATATATATATAGAGAGAGAGAGAGAGAGAGAGTACTCTTTGCTAGAAAGCCAGTGGCACCAGTGACCAAAATGGTCCTGTTCTCAAGAAACTGGATAACACTACCCAACTCCATTGCAGAACAGAAGTAATGACGAGAGAGAGTGTGTGTTTTGAAGTGAAATCCACTGAGAAAGAGCTTGGTTTATATATGTGAAAAATAAATAGTGGAGTGCGCGCAAGGGTGAGAGTACAGATTGGTTTATTATTATTATGGTTTAATGACGAAACACTCTTTCAGATTTACTTTTATTACTCACGAATTAAATTAGTGAAAAGGAAAACATGAACTTTAAGTTTGGCAAACTTTGCCCCCACGCCCTTGTTAGTTGACCGTTAGAAATGTCAAAAGTTAACTAATTTTTTTTTTAAAAAAAAAAACAAAATTGTCCTTTCTTATTGTAAAATGCCCAAATAAAAAAAAAAAACAAAATTGTCCTTTCTTATTGTAAAATGCCCAAATAAACCGTGCTCACTTTTGAGAATACAATTTTAACCTTAATCACTTGGGCCTTTGTAACCCGCATGTAGTGCTTAAATTCATCTACTTCTCCAACAATCTCATTCACTGATGCAACTTTGCAATCATCTTCTATTTACAAAGTCAAAGTACTAGTCAAACCGATGTTAAAAGACAAACTCAAAAAAAAAAAAAAAAAAAAAAAAATTTGAATATTATAACATAATTTAGGGTTTTGCCACTTTCTGTAACTAACACACACATATATATTCTCTTGTTTCTCACTGCTCTAATTTTTGGGATTCTTTGAAGTATACTCTGTTTCTTGTTCAAACAAATTCATTCTTAATACACGGATTACTCCTTTGGTTCTTAACAACACCCAGACATATATATATATATATATATTACTTTAAAGAAACCCAAAACTTAGAGCAGTGAGAATAAGAATATATATATATGAATTCCTCAGCTGCCAATTATATATGCGATTAGAATTAAAAAATTCTCAAAAATTATGAAATCTCAGAAAAGTTAAAAATAATATGGTAGAATTAAAAAAATTTGTGAAAGCCAAAAAAGAAGGGAGAATAATGAAATCCAAGGAAAAACAAACAATTTGCTAGCAGGATCAGGATGATGGCCGGTCTCGCCAATCATCCAGTTCCTCATAGGGGGTCTATGTGTGGCTACAAAGAGGGGATACCTAGGAATGGAGAATTGGGGTTAGGTTTCCTTACGTTGTATCAGAGAGAAAATATTAGATTTAGTGAAACTGTGTTAGATGCAATCATATAATGGGCAAAAATGACTTTTGCATGTTTTTAAATGTATATGTCATCAGCTATGCAACCATTTGATTAAATAAAGGAAATGATATAATGGTAAAAGTATATTTTTCCTTCAAAAACTAACTAAACTAACTGCTGTTGTCTTTTATCGGAGTGTCATAGTAATTTTTGCTTAAATTTAATTTATGAGCAATAAAATGAAACTTCAGGGGTGTGTCAGGGCATTTCACTCTTATTATTGTTATTATTTTCTTAAATAGTTTATCATTAATTTCTTTTGCTTCAAATGGAAGAACTCTTTTGAGATTACTATGATATAATAAGTTAAGAAACGGATTATCTAAGAATTCTCTCATATTTAGCATTGGTTGATTTATTATTATTAATTCAAAAACAATGTTATACATACCAAAATGTAATATGCGACAGACAGAGTCCCATACTCTATCTTTCTCAATTGAGATTACAATTAAGAGAGAGAATAGAAGGAACACCAAGTGAAGCTCTCACTCTCGTAGTAACTTTTTTATATATTTAAAGTTTAAATTAATTCTCTCTCTCTCTCTCACATAATAAATAAAGAAAAAAAAGGCTAAAACATAATTGAGACCATTATGAATAATTAACATGTTCAAATTACGCGCTAATCGATTACAATTACAATTGTTCATATATGGTTCCTTCTATTTAATAAGGTTTTACTTATTTAGCACCTTCGTAGAAGTAATCCACATGAATAATTTTAATCGACTGAAACTAATATAAAATTTGCCTAATTAATATGAAATTTTGAAACGATTACCACGACTAAAACTTTAGTTTCTACTTATAAATTTTTCTACGACAATTATCGATAATAAAAACAAAAAGTAGCATAAAGCGTGATTTTTTTTTTCTTCATGACAGCCATAAAATTTTTTATTATGGAGTCCCCTTCTCATTTCGCATCACATAAATTTTGTACATTGAAAATATTTTGCATCTCCGTTTGTTTCGACGTAATTTTTTTTTTTTTTTTTTTTTGGTAAATATATATATATATATTTTAGGTAAAATATTTTTTTATTTTTACTTTATCGGTGCTTGGTAAAGGTGTAGGTTGAGTCCATCGAACGGTGTATGTAAAATAACTTGCTGAAAATTGATGGATAAATTATTTTTGTTAAATTTTAATATTTCTTTTCTTCGTAAATATTTTACGACAACCAAATATCAAAAAATAAAAAAATATTTTCTGAAAAATATTTTCAATAGTTTCTGAAAATTGATGTTTGGTTGTCGTAAAATGTTTACAAAGGAAAAATATATTAAAATTTTACAATAATAACCTATCCATCCATTATTTTATACGTTCGGTCCGAAAGACTCGATCTCAACTTTGACTTATGCTTTTACCGAACATAAAAAAATACAAATAAAAAAAATATTTTACTTAAAAATAAAAATATTTTTAAAAAAATATTTTACAAAGGTAACCTAAATTTCAGGGCGAAGCAGGATTGCTAAAGAGTGATTGAAATAAGTTAGCCTGTCCCTGCGACTATACCCTTCTTCCCTTGACGAAGCGAAGTTTGAGGCGGGTCGCTTATAGGTGGCGGGCAGAACGAATGCGGATGCACAGCAACCCATAGGCTGGGTATGCCTCGCAAATTTTCACTTGAAATGCAACATAATGATTCAATAATTAATTAAAATATTTCAAAAAAGTACAAAGTAAATCAGAAAATTATTACGATTAGTTGAATAGAATTGAACAAAACATATAATGGTTGTGATTATGCACAAATTAAATGTTTACACAGCATGCGCACCCAAAAACACACTTGCTCACACACGGAGCGAGGGAGATTCCCAAGAAAATCACATTTTTGTGCCATTTCACTCTCTGCACATTCCATTCCTTCTTAATATGAAATTGGAATCAAATTACAGCGAATTAAAATTTGTCTCAACGGTTTTGTCATGTGGAAGGCTCAAACAATGTTTTATTAAAATAAAATAAACTATTCACACGCTAATGGAAACGCATGAAAGCATCTTTTGTCAATTAACCTGCAGTACAAACTTAAGTTACACAATTCTTTTTAACGTGTGTCGTTCTTACGCTTCGAGCACGCTCCTATTCTGTCTCAAATTTTCATTATTTATGACTCAATTCTGTCGCTTTCACGCTCCTTCTCTCAAATTTGCTTTCACTCTAGCTCTCGCTTTATGTGACTTAAATACAAACAATCGTGAATTCCATTACCATTAATTTACCACAAATCTTGTACTATACTAATTACCACAGTACTAAATAATTTACAGGACATAGTAATGTATTAGCCAATACTCATGGCATATTTTATATTTATATTTTAAGGAAATAATGTGTGACGGTATATATATATATATATATAATTGCACATTAAACATGGATGAGATAAAGAATTACAATGAGGAAATTTATGAAAGTTTAATTGCTCAAGTTTACACGTGTTCAATGTAATTTGACGAACTTGTTTTGATTCATGGAGACTTGTTCTATGATCAAAAGGCAAATAGAAATAATATTTTTGTTGTGGAGTGTGTATAATAGTAATTGAAAGTATGTTTGATAACGTAAAGTTTGTTACAAACTTTTAAAAACATAAAAACTGAGTTTGATAACGTAAATTGTTTTATTTATTTATTTATTTTGATACTATTCATCGTTACAATACTAAAACAACTAAGAACATTAATTTATTGTTTTCGGTTTGAGCCTTTTAAAAAAAAATATAAATACGATAATATGCAAATTTGTTTATGTTTTTGGCTATTACACACTATTCCCAACAACAAAAATAAGAAACAAAAACGATTTTCAAACATGGCCTAACGGTGTTAATTTCATTTGTGAAACACATTATTTTTATGCAATGCACATTTAATTCCTTGTGAATAAGAAAATGGAATCAAATTGCAACTAACATTTGTCTCAACGGTTTTGTCATGTCTGAAGAACCACAAGTGTTATTAAAATAAACTATGTTGACACGCCAATGGAAATGCAAAGAAAGCTCTCTCTTGTCAATGAACATGTAGTTTAATAATCATGAATTAGTACCATATTAGCTCATTTTTTATTTTATTTTTGCTAAATATTAGCTAATGATATTCATGGCATATTTATATATTATCAATAGTTATTAGTTTATTCCGTTATATATATACATCCTTATTTCTATCAAATTCCATCATTTAAATTTTTATTTTTGCATTTTTCAGTGCTACAGGAATGTTAATTTTTTTTGGAATTTTTGTTGGAGGTCCCATTTGAGTTTGTAGGGGGCGGAGTTGGGATTTCAGTTGGGGGTAAGGGGAGTGTAAAAAAAAATAAAATCCAACAAACATGATAAATATAAATATGCTAAATCAATGAATAGTATAAGAAATATAAGTACATGACTGATTACCCCAAAAAAAAAAAGAAAAAAGAAAAAAAGGGAAAGTACTTGAATATAAGAACTAAAATATTGTTTAGTATATATTGTAATATTTGTATTGAATATAATTGTAGGTGTTTGTATTTTGAAAGCCACGCATCAAAATTACACCATTGACTTCCTAAGTTATAGTAACAAACTTGAATAAAAAGAAGAGAAAAAAATTACATACTATATATATCATTCATAAATACAAAAAAATAATTTTAATTAAAAAAAAAAAAGAAAAAAAAAAGAAGATAAATGAGAATTATGATAATTTATAGTAGTTAGGGGCCAGGCTTGGGGCTTGTGCCCCCGGCACACCGTTATAATTTTAAAAAGGATAATGCTTTAGTCTTGTTCCATTCAAACTTTA